GTACAAGCGGGAATCAAAACCAAGCCACTTGAATCAATGGCAGACCTAATGACCCACGCGCAAGCGTTAACCATTCGGCCTCCCGACTCCCCGGCATAAAAAGGAATTTGATATTATACTATGGGGTCATCCAGTGTCACTGTTGTTATAACACATCAATCTTCCATCTGTGTCCAGTATATTCATTGATACTTTACTTAGAGAATTTATATCCTAATACAGTTTCATCCAATGACTAAGTTTCTAAAACTCAATTTAATATAAATGGCGAGTGACGGATAAAGTTCGAAGTCTAACAAAACAATATATTAAACGACGATAAACTGAATTAGCCCGCTTAACATAGAACACGGTCTGTCATTTATATTCATTTGTTGGACCGAAGTAATTCAATTAAATCTAGACGGATAAAAACCACGCAACAATCTAATACGCTTGCCTTAATTCAGACAGTTTTATCTCCAAGTCATTAATCAAAACACAAATTCTATTAACCACAAAGAACGGCCAAAGTCTCTTATGTGTGTGTAACATGTTTTCTGTCGTTTCGGGAAGAACAAAAAAGACTGAAACAATCATCAGTAAGTATTTGGAAGATATGTTTGCCTGGTAGTTTAGCAAGGTCCCCGTCCTGCACCTCTGACAAGAGAAACCAGACTGGGGAATTCGAATGAACTTTCTCGGCCAACACCGGAAGTGAACCCGAGACCGCCAGGTTAGCATGCCAGCGCCTTACTCACTGTATAAAAAACGACCAATTTAGTGTCGTGCCTTTGTTATATTCTCTAGGTCATGTAATTTCTACTTGAAGTTAAGTTTAAGTAGGCAATCGAAGAGCTCAAATTGAACTTTACACCGTTTGCTAATATCGTAAATCATTATATTGTGTTTGAAGAAAATAAGTGGGCAATCGAGGAGCTCAAATGGAACTTAACGCCGTTTGCTAATATCGTATGTTGCATTTAAAGAAAATAGCATTCTGTTTGGTAATAATAAAAACCGCCAGTTACTCACTATAGATAAACACTTAGCTTTGTTTATTAAAACAGAGAACATGCAGATACAAATTGTTTCAACAACCCACTTTACCCTCAGGAATACAGTAGTTAGATTGAGATGGACAGAGGAGGAGCTTGCATGTATCATAGGTTCCGGGGTGCCTAAAGAATCCGCCCGGGAACCCTACCTTCTTAATAGTAGATGATTCATTTTTATGTACTTCACAAAATCAACTGCATCTGGTAATAAGGGTAACTTTATTATTTTCAAGAGGAGTTACTGTCGATCTGTGCAGGTTCAGTCCAACTTGTTTTGATACGGACCGGTGCGTAAAGAGGCAATTCAGTTCTAAAGCTCAAGCAGAACCAAAACAGAGTTCGCAAGTTTATCCCATTAGTTTATTACCACTTAAAACACGGTATTTTCTGAAGAGTTTATTTAAGGAGAACATTTTGCACTTCTTCACAACGATCGATGGAACTCAATTAAATTTGGTACAGCCTCGTAGCCCTGTAGGGATAGACCATGGGCACCCTGCAGGTGCACAGTTTTGTTTTACACTTGTCGAGTATTGGTTTTGTAAATGACAAGTTGTTTGACGGAAACGTTGAAATGTATTCTTCACGTGGTAAGTTTCAACACTAGTAAGATTAAAGTATAACGTTGTCGGGGAATATAATATTTCTACCCAGATTGATTATTTAACGTTTGATTAAGGCAACACAATCATAATATCAACGCCAGATAATTAATTCTCCACTTTGGATTCAATCGGATTTAAAACCGGTCGATCAGTTAGACTCAAGAATACGTCAAGACGTTTTTACTGGCGATTATTCTCCTGTAGATTGAAAATTGCGGAAAGTTCAACTTTAAAGAAATATGTCGATAGAATCTTTAAGAAAAAATTGCAGGAAAAGAGAAAATAGTAATAGTAATTATGTATATTTGCATAAGGGGCAGTATAGATCGATGGAATTTCGCTTCATTATATCTTTCTAAATACTGGGCAAAATTGACTGATATCCCTACCATTGTAGTTTGCAATAGCTCCCTATGGCTCAAATCGCGCTCAGGATCTTGAATAATATTAGTAGAAGGTAGGCATGATAAAATGCACTATTGTAAATTCCAATACTTTTAATGCTATCTGAGGTTGAAAACGAATCATATATTTATCCAACATGCAACTAGATTAGGCGAGCGTTTAGGGGTTACGTTAGACTACCTTTCAAAAACACACAACGTGTTTCTTAGACAATAAACCTCGTCGAATTTCAAAATAGTAATCAGTGATATTAATCTAGTGAAAATCATTACATGCGCAAATTCTATTCTAGACGACTCATCAATAATATTAATTATATTCTTTGATCCTGACACGAAAACTAGACATATCATATCTCTGAAAACAGGAGTATCAATAATTTCAGAAAATTGTTTGGCTTGGGTCGAGTGAAGGCACCCAAAGTCATGCCGATATTGAAAGGTTTAAATTAATATTCTGCTGGCTGAAATAACATAAATGTTATTAATGTACGTTCGAGAGTGCAATAAATCAATTCTGCAAACATTGTGTAATTGTTGTCTTTAATTATACTTTTGATGTTTGAATACCTGAATTTAGCAACAAGAAAAATCACCGGTTATTTGGTTATTAAAGTTTAGCTATGACGCAAACTGATTAAAACACAGATCCTATTTCGTGTCGTTTTTTATAGTTCAAAATATCGTTTTATTTGTCTTCACAACACTAGGATCTGGAAGAGTTCCTATATAACAGGCGCTCTACTTGATGTGAGGAATTAGCCAATGAGACGGACTGTTACGGCGAGTTCTTGGCGTGCTCTGCCCGGAACTGTGCCGCTCGTGTTATGCCTGACGCGACCTCCCAGTACAACTGTTCAGATCTTCATGTAGTGTAGGCCATCGAAAGTATAAAAAAAATAAACGAAATATAGATCTGTATTTGGCTATGACGTTACCCTAAACAGTGGCCATACTTGTTTTCAATTTGTAGAACAAACATGGCGACTGATTATGGCGTATAAGAAGATAGGCCGGCCACGCCCACATCCAGTATATGCCTTGTCAGACATAGTGTCCACATCCGACTGGCTATATTTCAACTACCAATTACCTCATACACCATCACCTAATTGGCGTGGGTTTTTTTTTTCACTGTGAAAATACCTGAATTTAGCAACAAGGAAAATCAGCGGTTATTTGGCAATTACAGTCTTGCTATGACGTCACCCTAAACAGTGGCCAAAATTGTTTTCAATTTGTAAAACAAAAATGGCGACTGATCATGGTGTATAAGAAGATAGGCCGGCCACGCCCACATCCAGTATATGCCTTGTCAAGCACAGTGTCCACATCCGTCCAGCTATATTTCAACTACCAATTACCTCTTACACGATCGCCTGACTGACGTGTTTTTCACTCTCAGCTTACTGAAAATATTATTGCTGCACAATTGTCATAAAGTACTCTATCCAATACATAAACTGCATTATAATGACATTAATCTGGCTAATGTGTATTCTGAATTTTCTATAAATGATTAGAAATTGGGAGAGAAAAAAACTCTTAATAACGAAAACGAATTAAATTTTAATACAGTGGTTAATTAGATTGACAGATATCATAAAAAAATTCGAAGAAGTGTTCTGGGGGGGGGGGGGGGTAAAAATGGTGAGAGATCTTCCGCGTATAGTTGACTATCAAAAACGACTAAAGACCCTAAAAACATTTCATTCTTAAAAAAAACTCTTAGACTAAACTTTTTAAATCGGTTTACTATTAATGACATTAAATATTTTGTTTTGTGTTTTTTGATCATTTCGGACCCTTCTTCTGTTCGTTCCTTCATGATTATTTCATCTTTTAAAGATTGTTTATGTAGATAGCCCCCTGAGCAACTCGTTTGTTGAAAATTCATCGCTTTATAAATACATCATCATCATCATCATCACCATCAACATCATCGTCACCATCAAGGGTGTTTGGGTGACCGAATGATTAGCAAGGTCTGTCATTGAGTCATTCTATATTTTAGATATTAGTATATCAACTTCTACTATGGACAGATAGCCGCGGTGGCTCAGAGAGTAAAATGTTGACAAACTAACCAGGGGGTCCCGTGTTCGATCCGGGTGTTAGCCGAGAAAGTTTATCGGATTTTCCGGCATGGCTCCCTTTGTCAGTGGTGCAGGACGGAGGACGAGGGAAGGGACAAACGTATAGTCGTTCGGAATGGACACAAAACCGAGCCCCCGTGTACACATTGGCGTGCACAGTTGGAATTCGAAATAAGAGTAGGCCATAGTACACCGTATGGCGTATGCCGATCTTCATTGGCCTAGTCGGTCCATAACAGTAGGACGTTAAACCCGATTACAGTCTGTATTTCAGATATGAGTCGCCCTTTGTTCAGTTATACCAGCTGATCGTATTATCAATTTACCATCAATATATTTCTCTATCGATGTAATTCTGAAAATGTCAGATATACCAAAGGGATCTTGAAATTGACTTTTTTTGCAGATTTATCAAACTACATACCACTACCGCTGGGTTATTTAACATTTAATTAAGAAAACAAAATCAAAATATCTATATTCTCATATGTTAACATCAATATCTTCTCAAATGTTTACATTAAGATATTCGCAAATGTTTACATTAAGATATTCGCAATTGGTAACATTAAGATATTCTCAGTTGGTAACATTAAGATATTCTCAGTTGGTAACATTAAGATATTCTCAGTTGGTAACATTGGGATATTCTCAGGTGGCAGTTGGTAACATTAAGATATTCTTAAATGTTTTTTCAAATGTTACAATTAAGATATTCCCAAATGGTAAAATTAAGATATTCCCAAATGGTATAATTAAGATATTCCCAAATGATATCATTAAGATATTCTCAAATGGTAATATTCTATATTTTCGATATTTCAACTAATAGTGTCATCGATATATTCTATCTTTCAGATATACCAACAAATGTTACCATTAAAATATTTCTGCTAAGTTTTGATTCCGTCAGTGAGACAACAATGGTAAGTGGAAACTGTGAAAGCTTCGAACAAAACAGAAACATTACTCATCAGATTCCATTACTGTCAACCCGGCCTCGTGGGTGCCACATGGTTTTTGTAGCCATTTATTAAATGAGTCGTGCACTGGTTTCTCATGAATCTCTTACACACAATAATGGAATACATAAAATAGATCTAATATTGTTGCTATCAGCGAGCTTCCCTAGACGCGGAATTTCAAAAAAAACTTTAATTTATTTAAAATGATATAAAATTGGCATATCCAACGATAAAACCAGTATTAAGATATTAACAGTGTTTACGCAGGGGATGGGGAAGGGGTATTGTGGACACTGAAAGAAATGAAATGATATCGATTTAATGTCCTGTTTTTTCTGTACCGACTGGGCTAATGAAGACGTGCAATGTGCTATGAGCTACTTTTATAACGAATTCCAACTGTCAAAGGCTCTTTGTCAATGTGTACACCGAACCTCGTTTTACGTCCCATCTGAACGACTATACGTTGTCCCTTGTCAAGCCATACGTCCTGCGCCACTGACAAAGCGGAACCAAGCCGGGAAATCCCGATTAACTTTTTCGGTCAACTCAAGGATCGAACACGGGACCTTAATGTTAGCAAGCCAAAAACTGACTGACTGAGCCATCCCCCCCCCCCCCCCCAACCCCAACACACACCACACACCCTCGAAATAACACAGATCAAACACAACTCCACACTTTATTTTGTCCTAAATCAAAGAAGAGGGTTAGGTGGATGGATGGTTGCATCAAGTGACGTGGTTTCAATTCCTCGCTTGTGCGTGACAACGAGTGGAATCACCTGTCCATCCTCGAGAGGTTTCTACGGTTCCTCCAGTTTTCCCCTAATGCTAAGACCACTACGTAAAAGCGAATAAGTGAAGAAACATTGAACCATATATCTTAGTCCCAAGTTTGTTATGAGCGGACGTTGAACCCATTTATCTCTTACTCTCTCTCATAAAATCGCTCGTTTCAACCGTGTACCGAAATATTTCTTTGTATAAATTACAATAGGCTTTCCTCGTAAACAAGAAGAAAACGACTGTCCTTTTTGTGCTTGACTTCTGGGTCTGTACATGGCTAAGATGTAAAAGCAGAATTGATATACATTGGTCAGCGTACTTTAGTAAGCTTGAGCGTGCATGGTTTCTATTGAACTTCCGGTTGGCTTCACTGCTAAAGAGTTCCTAGCATAAGCAGATTAATGACATAAAGATTCGATTGTCCTGAAATGGCTGACATGTTTTGACTCCATTTACAAATAAAAGATGGCTATATTATATTGCTTAATTTTGTCTGAATAAGTCAAATAGAACATTCTTGCATCTTTCTCGGTTGAAGCTATGTTCTCAACACTCCCGATCTGGCAGATGAGAGAGAGAGAGAGAGAGAGAGAGCGAGAGAAAGAGAGAGGGGGGGTAGCGTCCACTTTTTTTTACTTTTGGCATTCAACCAATTAACCCCCAATTGTCGAATAGAAGCGATCCAATACTTTTCAAAACGTATGTGTATTGTTTAAAGGAGCTAAATCTGTATTCTTTGGCTGCTAGAAATGGACACAAATGGGACTTATTGCATATAATAATGTAATATGAATGTATATAAACTGATTTACATTCAATCGTTTCTGTTTTTACTGTAATTACTGTAATCAGTTATGTTCGGCGAAATACGAGAAGAGTCCAATTTGAATGACAGTCTTCGGCGTTTGGTTATTCTAGTCTACACCGGTCGTATTACTTGCTTCATTACAAATGGCGCTCGAGAGCAATCTGGCAGGCGGTTCGTGTGCCAATTTTGAATTTTCCTTTGTGTCTTAAATATTGTATATCAAAAGTCCAATAAGTCAATTTAAATTGACCAATAATTCGTGTTTGCAATGTCTAAGACTGTTGATGATATTGAGTTAAACACTCTCCTCCTTTAACTGCGTATTTGTTACACCATTTGTGTCGTGTTACTGTTTGGACGTTGCATAAATGCCTATTATATGTAATTCCACTCACTAAACCTGTAAGCATCGATCAATTTTAACCATAAAACTTAATGGGGGAATTGAGTATTTAAATTCTTGTCACAATCCCGATGTTCCTATCGATAATTGTTTCATGAATTCAGAGTGAATTCTGTCATGTGTAAATGAAACTGGCAATTTTCAAAGTGCATTACGATCGTTACCTTTTACCAATGATCTGGTAAACTCTGGGTTTGAAATTGTCCCGAATCGATTCATTAATGAATCTTTCCATGAATAGAATAAATGAATATTATTATTGGGTCTTTTTTGTAAATTAATATTCTGCAATATAGGCACCACTGTGGGAATTCCCACAACCATAATCTCTGGAACCTTAATGATCTGAAAATCACGAATCTGATTTGAGTATCGGGGTAGCACATCTAAAGCTTTAACTTTCTCAGTCCAGATCAGGTCATATCAGTGATATGGGTTATCGTGGCAATATTATCCTGGTAGACCCTATCTAATTATTTTGCCAGATTGTATGGAAATATTGCATGACCGTCGGAATATTCTACCAAGGTGGACCGAACAGAAGCCAAGATCCCTTGGCAGTTGGAATTCGATATAAGAGTAGGCCTGCTAGGCCACAGGGCCGCTGCCCGGGGGTTAACATTTCCCTCATAACCCACACTCCATTAGCCCAGTCGGAGCAGAACAATAGGACGTTAAACCCCATTTCTTTCAGTGTTTTTGTATTTTATTTTTGTCTGATTCACTAAGACTTTTTTCTAAACGGGGAAAACCAGGTGTAACGATTGACGATTGCATGACAAATCTGTTCACATCAACCATATCTAGATGATTTAAATTGGAGAATACCGTGGACCGGGCTGTAATGTTTTGTATTTGTCTGTTTCGCTGATGGAAGCCCAAGTATTAAAGATCGACCATTGCTTGAAAAATCTGTTCATTTGTTTAAGGATTATTCGGTTGAAATATATCTAACTATGATCTGGGTAGATGAAAGATTACAGTTTTTAAATTATTCCGACTTTAAATGGCTGGAAGTCGGAACCAAACTTATGGATGCCGTCTGGGTTCCTGACGTTTACTTCCGGAACGAGAAAACAGCTGCCTTTCATGACGTAACAGTTCCGAATAGATATCTTCACCTCTACCCCAATGGTACGGTAGTTTATAGCATGAGGTAAGATTTATAAAGACAATGGGTATTTTAATTATTACATAGACGAACTACAATAATTCTAGCCATTGACACGAAAGCTAAATTCATATCATGTCTCGGTGTGTAAAACAATTCCCTGAAAGTGCCATATGGAAGAAAGACAATAAAGATATTATAATGATATAAAATGTGAGTAATATATCGCCTGGAGACCGAGGGTATTTAGTTTATCAGACCAAATATTCAATTTTCTTTTATCAATTTATCATTTTTTGTCTTCTGAAAAAAATTTTAAAAATAAATTTGTCTTTTGAAAAGAAAATTTTCAATTATTTTTTACACTAGCTATGCTATTATCTTAAGAAATTTCTTCTTTTTTTTAACTAACTCAGTTCGTATATTGTTTTTGTATTTCAATTTTATTTGTCGTCTTGCTTTCCAAGTAAACGTGCGGGTTAATTATAGATTGTAATTATTAAGCAATCAAGCATATTTGTATTCAAAGCAAACAATATTGAAATCGATTATCACTGATTTGATTTACAAAAGTTTCATGAACCTTTTTCTTGTACTCGGGCGTGCTTAATTACGCAATAACTGCAGCATTTGGATCCAGATATTTTTTTACCTTTGAGAAATATTTGAACGATCTTGTTTTACTGCGTCTATGGCGTGTTTAAGTAGTTGTGGAACCTCACGGTTATCGAGTTAATTTTTTATGGCAAAATATTGACAATCGATCGATCCAAAAAGAACCCAGATGTAACAAAAAACATTACAATTAAATCTTTAAAATATAAACAAATAACGGAATCTTAATATATTTTTAAAAGTAAAATTTATTTAAAATCTTCTTGTAAATGTTTTGTATATACTGGTAAGTCTCTCCGGGGTTAACATTATATTATTATTATTATTTTTTTATTTTTTTGATGAATCTTTAGATGAAAATTTAGAAACATTTGATATGTAGATTACAATCCTCTCTTCCCAGCCTACAAGCGGCCTTAGACATTCTCTCGTTGCACAAAAACAATTGCCCGAAGAAAATGGGAAAATTAATCAGATTCTTTGAAAATGGATATTATCAAAATGTCTCGAATAGCTAATATACTTTGTGTGTGATACTAATATTGCACAAATCCCTAGAGGATCTAAATTGAAATGTATAAAAGTATATATGTATTTACATACATGTACATATATGTAAACCGTTTAGAAGCTGCTTATTTTGCCATATAAGACCTGTCTTATATTTTGCATGTCATGATAAGTTGAAATAATACATAGACGTTTTTTGCATTCACATCTCTGATATTTTATTTGAATGTTTGATGATATGCAAATGCATGATAATTTAAAGGTCATTTTGACTAATTACAATAATAAATCGGGGGTTAAAATGATAGGTTCTTGAAAGACGTTTGTTGGATGAATTTCAAGCTTTGCTTCCTATTGATATGTATATTAAACAAACTCTTTTCTGTTAAAAATCCTCCCAGTCTAAGACATCTTTTTCTGAAAACAAAACTATTGGCATAACGTTTATTGGTCTGATTATTTCGTGGGGTAGTGAGAAGGTGTATTTTAGGGGTCGTTTTACTTTGTATTAATAATATCATCTTTATATTTCAGATTGTCTTTAACATTAATATGTCGAATGGATTTATTAAAATACCCACTAGATACACAAATATGTCCAATGGTTATACAAAGTTGTAAGTTAATTTTAATATTAAATATAATTCTCGCTTTACAACGTAGGGGAATAACTATTACAGTGGGGTAGAATACCCGACATCTCCACCAATTATAAAAGTCGCCCTCTGCCTTACTTTCTGTCCATATCAACAATGGTTCGAATGTAATGCTTGGATAATTAAGTATTAACTCATATAGTTTCAATTGTTTGTTTAGTTGGTAAACGCTTAGAGGTTTAAATCCAAATTTAATTCATTATACAAAATTCGAGTCTTTCAAAATAATCCAACCGTTGTTGTTTCTGGGGTTAAGCTTAAATCTTTTAATCTATTTATACAAAATTCGAGTCTCTCAAAATTATCAAACCCTTTTGTTTCTGAGGTTAAACTGAAATCTTTTAATCTATTTTTGTCTTAATAATTATCTGGCTATTAATCCTTTAAAACAATGCTTTTCTAATTAAGACACATTATGGGAGATTCGATAACGAGTTGGCAGTTCTCACTATATTAGTTAAAAACTAGATGATGTAAAGGAAATTTGCTGAACATTTCATTCCAATTTATCCTCTATGAAGCGAGGATTAAGCGATTGAAATTTCCGCCTAGCCTCGATCATCATTACTAAAGTCAGTAATGTAAACAGCAATCTCGATTATCCATTTAATCGTTAAATCGTAAAGGAAAGTTATGCAGTAAATCGGCTCATAATCCACTAAAGATCGCAGGCTAGCGATACCATCTAGAATTGATTATGGCCTGGATAGGTTAATTAATGTATAATGAATAATTTAGATAACATTTGAGGCCTAAAGAGAGACCTGCAATAGGCAGATTTAGCTCTTGCATAATGTATGTTTAAACTCTATTCGTGGGCTGGTAGGTATTCTACTGTACTGCACTATGTCTGTGGCATATGGTCGCGTGATCGTGTCAATAAACAAATGTATGTATTGACAGAATATAACTGGTGCTGTTTTATGTATTCAAAAGCTTCAGCTAGGATGCAAATTGTTTGATCGAACCTCCATATTGGTACACAAATGGTTTGATCCGAATCTTCATATTGAGACATAAACGGTTAAGTTGGACTTTCTATATTGGGACTGGGACACAAATCATTTAAACGGACTACCATATTGGGGAATAAATTTTTTGATAGAAACTCCATATTGAGACAAAAATTGTTTTACCCGACCTCCATATTGGGACACAGATTGTTTTATGTGATCGGACCTCAATATCGGGATATAGTTTCCTGTAGTCTAGTCGATAGACGACTGTTTTACCAATAATAATAATAATAATAATATTAATAGATCTATACACAGGTGTCACTTATTGTCACAAGCATTTACCAAATAAAAGAAATTAATGGTGCACTATTGAACATAGGCACGTTGATACTGTGTAAACCTCTAATGTTTAAATACACCTGGAATATATGAAACGTATTTATTTTCAAGCGATCAATAAACACCAAACTTTAATGTATTACTATTAGGAAATGAAATTGAACCACATATTTCAATTAGAAAGTCGATATTCGTGACTTAATAATTCTTAACAAATAAAGCAGTCGTGCATGGATTGGTTAGTAGATTAAGTTACTTATGTCTAGAAGAGAAAAATAAATAACATAAATGATAGGTTTTGCCTTGCCTTTTTTGTACTTGGGCGTGCTTAATTACGCAATAACTGCAGCATTTGGATCCAGATATTTTTTTACCTTTGAGAAATATTTGAACGATCTTGTTTTACTGCGTCTATGGCGTGTTTAAGTAGTTGTGGAACCACACGGTTATCGAGTTAATTTTTTATGGCAAAATATTGAACATAGGCACGTTGATACTGTGTAAACCTCTAATGTTTAAATACACCTGGAATATATGAAACGTATTTATTTTCAAGCGATCAATAAACACCAAACTTTAATGTATTACTATTAGGAAATGAAATTGAACCACATATTTCATTTCCGTTAAATGAACAGCCATGTTTGAAGCTTTCACGATTGGGAGATTCTAATTGTAGCCTGGTTGTAGAGGTTCGGGTATTTCCAGACTCTTAAAATTATTTATAGATGATTATTTTGGGGAATACTAACCCTAACCATATCCCTTTAAAGAGGGGTATAAGATAAATTGGATCCAAGTTCAGTCTTCTAAATAGGGTTAGGTTTAAGAATTAGGGGGAGAGGTTAAGTCTCCACATAAGCACTGATACTCATTTATATAAAGCGACTATTTTGAACTCCGGAAATTCCCGAAACTCCCCAGCTGGCCCACAATTAGCATCTCCCTTGACTATTTTAACACCTCTTCGATTTTATTCGGTTTGATAGGAATTTAGACGAAAGCTCTCAGACTCGAACCTAATCGATCTACTGGTTTGATAGAAATTTCGATGATAGCCCCAACCTAACAGATTTTCAAATGCAAGCCTAGGGATATTTTTGTTTCATTATTCTATAATAATAGTTTAAAAAAATAGCTTGCTATATTTTAATATTTTAGTCTGAAAAGAGATCAAGAGATTACATAATCTATGACATATATCATGTCGATTTACGGTTTTTTTTTTAATATGCCACTATTAATATTAAAACAAAGCCGAGAGTCATATATATATAAAACATTCTAATTAGTGATCTGCTTCTCGCTATAAAATATTGAGAAAGGAAACAGTATTACTCGGCCCCAATCGGTGTAAAACAGTTGGACGTTATACCCCAATTCATTTCGGTATTACTCGGATATCGAAACACTATATAGCCTTTACACTACATCAGTGGAAGATATGTTTATTAACCATTACTTGAAATGACAAAGAGTCCTCGTAATATTTAAGGTTATATAAAGAACTACTTCCGTTTCTATGATGTTTCTCTACATTTGTATGGCTGCACACTACTAAAAAAAATATTGTAGGTCTTTATCATGGCGTCAAATGTTATATAAATCTTTATTTAAACATGTATTCACATGTCAAGTCTATTATCAACTCTCAAGAGCATTGGGTAGCCGAGATTCAAATGGATTTCAACACCCACAAGATTTAGAAATTTAACGACAAAATGGATAATCGAAACTTAGTCTCGGTCGTCAATAATAAACGACCTATGCTACATCTTCAAATGTCATAACTTCTCGCAGAAAAAAAGTAATTTGAGTCAATATATTATTTTTTCATTATCTATTCGAACAAGAACGCCTCTTTATCTAACATAATGCATCTTTAAGTTGCAATGGGCAAACATGTATCTCGAATCATTCGCGTCAAATTATATGTCCACAGCTAAGAATGTCTGCCATTGGTGACAGATTAAAACAGAAACGAAGACAACAAGTATCTCCGAAACGGCAGAATTGTTCTACAACTTTCTTTGGGCGATTATTGGACGAAATAGGAAATAATACTACCTTGAACTCTTCTTTCTAACTATTCTCCCCGTGGCATTCTCATTCTTTCGTTGACTTTGCCTCCAGACGTGATGTATTCATTACACTATAATCGTGTAATATAAGATCATGTCTGCACTATACGTTGTAGATGAGGTTTTCGGAGGCGCATATCAGAGAAGAGTTGGGGCCATTTGCCCATACTCCCACCCCCGTTTTGGGTCGTCAGTTAAATAAGTTTATAAACCAGGCGAGCCAAATAACCAAAGCAATGCTACTTTTGCTGGGATGGGATGGGGGGATTACAGCCCATAAAATACCCATTTTAATATAATTAAGAATCGTTTTGGGTCATGTGCCCTCCTCCAACCCCAACCCCTTGGACAACCATGTAAGGTGTGCTCCACTAAAGGTTTTGTAAACTAATATACGTATTATAATAACATTGCTTAAAAAAATAGCCCAGAACAAAATAGTGGAACAAACCTTTGTTGTTTTCCAGATGTTTATACAACGGAAAATGTTTTATTTTGGTGGGATACCCATCAGCCATTAATATTTGATGGAGATCTGGACCTAAATCAAGGTCTACCACAGTTTGCTATTACTGATTCTATAACAGTTGGGTGTACAGCATCACTAGGGGGCAGTAAGTAAACAACATTATATTTAATACGAGCATAGCACCGTTAGATCTAATTGATAAGGCCAACTTCAAGTTCGGTCACAGGTCGCGAGATGTAAACAGGGCTAGCGCTAATCTCTACCCTAACCCTAAACCAGGACCTAGCCCTAACGCTTACCCTAACCTACAATCTCGCCAACAATCACGTGCCCTAACCTTATTGACATCTCAGCGACCTTGACGAAAGTTGAGTTGGCCCTAAGAAATAGATGTAGCCGCGTAGAACGAGTATAGATTCCTTGGGAGTTGGAATTCGATATAAGAGTAGGCCGTAACGCCACTGTCCAGGAAAATTTCCCTCGTTGCACACTGTACGGCGTATGCCCGTCTTCATTAGCCAAGTAGGAGCCGAACAGGACAGTATTTCTTCAATGCACTAGTATCAGTTCATTAACCATTGCTACTCTAACTCTAGTATAGTAGAGTTATCTTCTCCTAGGCCCAGGTCTTGTCTGTCGACTAATGACGACTATGGGTTTAGACTATAATCCAGGATAAACCGCACGAAGTTGGGCAGGCGATTCCACTTCTTGTCGCGTACATGCTTGGTCTCGAACACTTAGGGATCCAATCCGTAATTCATTGTTCTGTGTCAGACGTATAAAGTAGGCTACGCTGCAATTTGTAAGCGATGTTTTGGACCTGGACTGAAGGATGCTGTTGACAAGAAGATGGCGGTCACTGTTCCTATCAGGAGATTCAGACCATCAATGTCCATTATCACGAGTCATTTTGTCTCCTACTAAGAGTTTATAGTCTTGATAGCTGGTCGGTAGTAAATATTTGCTTCGACCCTTCCACTGTCGCGATTAACCAGACTATTTCTACTGTTAGCGTTGCCGCCAGTTAGTATAAAATATTTAAGTTGCGTACATTCCTCTAATGAACTTTTTTCTTTGTTTTTCAGCAAATTTTGCATGCATAAAGGCCTCTTTTACATTACGACGTGACGTCAGATACTATGTCATACAAGTGTACATTCCCAGTATTCTAATAGTAGGATTATCATGGGTGTCATTTTGGTTGGATCTGAACGCTATACCGGCACGTGTTTCGCTGGGAGTTTTAACAGTACTTACTTTGAATACCCATGGCTCTAACGTGCAAGCAGCGCTACCCAAAGTCTCGTATATTAAAGCAATAGACGTGTGGACAGTGGCCTGCTTAATATTTGTATTTTCCGCTCTGTTAGAGTTTGCTTATGTGAATGTTTTGTCTCGGAGAGGTGATAAGCTGAATTATATCGGATCTGGATGTGGAACAACTCCCTGTTTTTGTGATATTGATATAGATCCTGATAAGGTTAGTAAGACATTTTATATATCCGAGGAATTTTATCGACAAAGTAATGAGAGAAGGCGAGGGCGGGAGGGGAGGGTGTGGTGGTAACAGAAATCTGGAAATGCAATAGAAAACCCATACAGGTCACAATTCTGTGGAATACAATTACTGCCAATCTGATTAACACTCAGATCCCATTTCGTTTCGTTTTTTATAGTTTTACATGTCTTTATATAACCCGAGTTCTGGATGTTGTGAGGGATTAGCCAATGAAACGGTTTGTTACGGCGAGTTGTTGGCGTGAAGTGTACGGAAGAACTCGCTGCAAAACAACTCTTCCAGATCCTTGTAAAACAAGTAAAAACGAAATTTTGAACTATAAAAAACGAAACGAAATAGAATCTGTGTTTTAATCAGATAGCATGTAGATGTAACCTTATTTAACTAAAACTATTAGAACAATGACTAAATAAACCATTGAAGGCCGAGTAATTAAATTAGTGAGTAGGAATAAACGTTGATCTCTGTTCTTCGTTGGTTTGTGTCTTCGTATCTGAATGGCTTCATGTAGTCGGCGTGTCCTCTTGTTGCTGATATTTAACATTTGACATGTAACAAACCCCACAGGAACATTCGATTTGATAAACACGTCACTTTGGTTGTAGTGGTTGTGTTGAATTTAGTTCACCATTTGCTCTTAATATGTCTTTGGTGTCCGTCTTCCTTAGTCCAGTTCGGAGCAGAACAGTAGGACGTTAAACCCCATTTCATGTCTTTGGTGCTGTTAATTTTTGTTAAGGTTACATCTATATCTGGTTGCTGCTTTAGTAGCCTTTTTATTTGGGGTAGTCGGGGTTTTCTAGTCGACGGGGTTTTATTGATGGTGTTATTAGCAAAATTCTCCGGATAGCTGTTGAAGTTTGTAAAGACATCTTTCAGATGAACAATTTCCTTAGGCAGGTTCTCAGGGTCACATATCAATTTCGCACGGTTAACCAGAGTTGCAAGTGTTGCTGATTTAACCCTATTTTTGTAATTGGTGATTCCACATACTTGTGACCTGTACATTCCAGTTTAATTACTCAGTGTCATTGAAAGAATTCAATAAAAAGCCGTGGAGAAAAAGAGAGAGAAAAAAATCTCCGAAATTTGTCGTTTTTGATCCAGGAATCGATTCACAAGCACCACGTACTTTTGATATGACGCCATTTTTGAATCACCGCTTACTAATTATTATCTTATAGGGTATGTTTTTCTTTGTTCAGTACAAATGGGGCCCGAAACCATATAATGCACGACTCGTGTATCGATTATAAAAATTTCCATTGTGTTTTAAATATTGAATAAGGGAATGCCATATTTTCACGGAAATATAACAACATCACTATGATTGATCACTATTCAATTCTAATTGTTTAGCTCCTATAAATAGCATTGAGGGGTCAATAACTTACGTAATTTTAACATTGCACAAAAAACTTAAGCTTTTGTTTAAAAAAAATATTTAATTGATTACGGCTACATGGAAATTATAAACGATTTGTTAAGACTATAATGCATTTTGCCTACATCTCTGCCATACCGTGTTTCTTTCCGCAATATTTTACTCTTCAAATACCGGAAGTAACTATCTGGAATGATGCTTCGTAAACAGTAATTTATTAATTAATCTTGAACACTTTTAATTTTTACTATGTAGAACATTATATTAAACAATAAACTATGGACCTATTAGATACATTTCCCTATCGGTACATTAATTATATATATTATACGCTTATATGTATTATGGCCATCTAAGGGGAATAATTCGAATAGTATTTAAGCTGTAATAATTCTTTGTACCGTCGCTGAGAAACTTGGGTATTATAAAGAGTGAAGCCATTGTAATACGAGGTGAACTAACCGACTTTAATATATTATACTGTTCATTTCACCCGTGGGACAGGGTTCGGATGGCCGAATGGTTAGCGTGGGCGCTTTGTATCATAAGTTCTGTCATTGAGTCAACTGGCGGGTTTTCTCCGGGTCCTCCGGTTTCCTCCTACTGCTAAAGACCCCTACGCCCAAGCAAATTAATTTTTAAAAAATTGAACAATTTTTTTTTAGTCCCCAAATGACCTAGTTTGTATCGAGTGGACGTTAAACCCCATTTCTCTTTCTCTCTCCCTCTCGTTTGTGGGACAATCGTGACGTTCGACACACATATAGTTTAATCTTGAATGATGTTAGTGACCCCATTGACCCGTATGGATTCTACATGAGTGGTGTTCGTTGGACACTTCACCATATTATGTTTGCCGCAGTATAGCCGTGGTTGGTGCTGACGTACCACTGAACACCATATTTCATTTGATTATTTACTTTGAACTAAATGAAGAAAAGACCGGGTCAGTATTGAACACGACCCAAAGTACGCCCATCTGATATGGATACCAACCGATAAGATCCGAAAAGAAACTTGTAGGGTATCCTCCGAATTAACACCAACATTGAATTTCGGATCTGAGTTGGAAATCGGTTCAGTATCAAACACTGGACATTTTGGTCGATATCTAAACCGTTCAACTACCACAGCCACTGAACTGTTTAGGGACATTTATAAATAGCAAATGCTACGGACTCTTTATGGATACTATCATAATTCGCCATTTTGTTTTACGTACATTCTATCATTAGCAGAAGTGACCAAGCCTCGCGAGACTAGTAATATATATAAGTGTAAAGACCAGTCCGATAATATCGTTCCCAAAGTAACAATGAATAGTGTTGCAAACAGTTTCCAGGGAGAAGAAATTTGAATAAACAATGAGGTAATGAGCCTGTTTCGGGTTGTAATCAACGCCATTTTGAATTATTCTAAATGCATCCGTCTGTATGTTAAATTATCATGAAAGTGGGTTATCAGCTTTATTTAAATATGCCTTGGGACTTTGTGGTTTATATCAATGCAAATCTATAACAAAACACAGCTATTTCATAAATACTAGATGATATCAAAATATTTCTAGGTACACTTTTATTGCTTATTGATGCATAATATGCTTTGTATCACTGGGAAATCTAAACAAATTCCCTGTAAATTGCGGCATTTGCACAAATAGATGAGATAGAGCGTAGAAACTATATATAGGCTAATATTAAAGCTAGGACGAACCCAAGTGGTTTAGTGCTGCTTGACATGCGGTACTACCAACTGGTATGTCAGATATCTTTGACATCTTTCTCGTTACTTTGTCTTTCATTTTGGGGGGAGTGGGGTGCGTCATTGGTTTTTGTTGATCCTCTTTTTAGATGTGTTTTTATATTGTATTCACCCCTGCCTGTCAGTCCGTGTTCTTGATCACCTAAAAAAAACTTGTGGCCACTCTATTGGCTAATGCTATCATCCGATTGACTTAACATTTAGTGACCGTGATTATGTTCTTGAAAATGAAAAGCGTACGTTTCGTTACCTGGCAACCTATGGTTTTCTCGTAGGTAACACAGGTCACCACCACCTACGTACATACTAGCACTGCCATCTAAACTGAATCCAAAGTAATATTCCCCACTCGCCAGGCTATAGTGTTTAAGTTTCTCAGCTTCAGTTATGCTAGATCTTACACGCTCTATGTGGGCGTTTTGGGCAGGGTAACCCTACCTTTCTTTACTGGGTATGCCCGTTTAACCATAATTCAAGATTTATTCAATCAAACCCAATTTTCTCTTTGATATGGCGATGGTGGGTGTCGTACACAGTGCAGAGTAGGCTTAGTATTTCTAGAACTTTGCTGTTGTTGCTGGCTATGGTGGCTGATTGGTATCATGTGATGTCGTAATGTTGATTTTCATAAGGCGACAATCCAACACCACGAAATTTTAACCCGACAACCAGACATCACGACAAGCCGACATCACGACAAGCCGACATCACGAAATTTAATCCGTCTATACGACATTTTTACACGACATTATGACATTTTTCATGTCGTGTTGTCGAGTTAAAATGTCGTGATGTCGGCTTGTCGGCCATGCTCCTCCCAATACTATGATTATGGACATTGATCCTGGTGTTGGTTAAGAAAGTTCCAAGGGATTTCTCCCTGTCGGTATTGCAAGGCAGAGGGTCTAGCAAAGATACACAGTCTAGTTGTGTAGGACAAAAACGCAAGCTTTTTTGTACACATTGAGGAGTACATAAAAGAACGCTTCGTAGTTGGAATTCGATAAAGAAATGCCACTGTCCAGATAAAATTTCCCACATAGAAGACTGCATAGAACTCATCCTCTCATTGGCCCAGTGCTTCACACCAATTTTTGGGAGCCATAGTGATACAGCCATGCGAAGACTGGCGCGAGAAGTTTGGCAGGGTCCAGTTGGCCTGGATAACTAAGTAAAGAAAATGGGTCGCTGAGCTGGGTAAAAGCTACTGTCTAGATTCTCTAATAAGCAATATATTCATATATTTAATGAATAATTTGCGGGCTCAGGCCGCTATTGAATATGCTGCTTGAAATTAATTTTATCACTTGTTGCTATTTATTACGGTGTATTATAATTATTACAGGATACTTCAAATGATAATTCTACACCTGAGAAAAGAAGACAAAATTACCAGAAATGGCGACATGCCGCAAGACGAGTTGATAAAATGTCTCGTATAGCGTTTCCTGTTGGCTTTATAACTTTTAATCTTGTTTATTGGATTACTTATGTCTTTGTTGATATCTAATGGTAAGTATGTAATTTACAACAATGAAACTTGAATCCTCTCTTACTACTGATGTTACAAAGAGATGCTCTACTTTCGCTTCCACCTGAAATGATATTGCAGACATTGGGTCCTTGGCTCAAAAATTCTTTGATCATTTGCTATTTGCATGAAATACGATGGTCGAGGTTTTATGGCCACAGTACCTCACCTAAATAGGGAGAGGTGGGGAGAGGAGTGAAGGTCGTGGTATTGTTTCTATTATTGTATGGTAGACCCAAAAGTACCGAGTTTGTGTCAGTTGTACGTGACCCCCCCCCCCCCCGCCTCTCTCTCTCTCTCTCTCCCTCTCTGTATCTCTCTCTCTCTCATCTCCCTCTCATCTCTCATCATCTGAATGACTAGACATATTTTCTTGGTTAACAACGCAGACATCGTCCATATAAGAGCTTATAATTCATATAGAAATATCACCCTGGGAGGCTTATTACTTTATCAGTAATTCGTATATCTCATTAGGGTTTCACACCGCGTAGCTTGTGTGAAACACTATTGTTTTTGTTAAGATTATTATTCTTATTATTATTCTTATTATTATTCCAAATTATTTTTGATTAGATCTCAGCAACTCCTTGTCGGATCGTTACGATTTCTTCGGTTTTACTGGAAAAGTGGGTGTGACTTAGAGGATAAAGCTATTTTGATCGTTCTGCGACAATGCGAAATGTCCGAAATCACCGAAGCTATCGTTTTTAGAAATATCGCAGTAATTTTAACAATAATCATTGGATTTTAACTTTCGATACATTTTGGCATAGCCGGACACAGGGCACATAGCTATGCTACTTTTGATTTTTGATTTTCGGCTATTTCGATTAAAAGGTGAAAAAAGGTGTAAAATTAAGCTATTTACAACCCATCCAGCGTTTTCATATTTTAAAATATTACTTCGTAACTTTCATAAACTCGTTGCAATAATCTATATGGAGAGAATGTATGTGAAAATTAATTTGTAATATGCGCAGTTGCCGAGAAATGGTCAATTTTGCATGAGTCGTTCTTTACGCTATTGTGCCTGTAAAAGAGTCAATTATTATTGGATTTTCATAAAAGTGACACCATTTGATGCATAATGTCAATTGTGACTAGTTCAACTCAATTTTACATTTTCAATGTCACCGGAAATGACGAAATTTGGGCAAAAACTGTATTTATAGCCTTCGAAACAAATAATTTATTCAAATGCGTCGTATTTAGTGTTTGTTTAAGATTTTGATATTTGATTCTAATCAACTAAAAGAATGAACCCATACGATCATATAGATATTACAAAATGGTTTCTAACTTGTTCAGTTGCGGAGAAATAGGCAATTTAATTTTCAACAGGTCACTTTTCAAGGTTTTTTGTCCACAAAAGTGTCAATTATTATTCGATTTTCATAAAATTTTCACTGTGTGATACCTAATGCCATTTACGATTTCATACAAGTAGTTTAAGATTTTCATTATCACCGTAAGTAACGTCATTTTGGCAAAAACTGTATTTTTAGCCTTCAAAACAGATATTTTATTCAAATGAGTCTTATTTGTATTGTTTTTAAAATTATGATATTTGATTCCAATCAGCAAATAGATTGAACCCATCCGATCATACAGATACCAGAAAATGGTTTCTAACTTGTACGGTTGCAGAGAAATAGGCGATTTTCTACAAGTCACTTTTAAAGGTTTTTGGCCTATAAAAGTGGCAATTGTTATTCGATTTACATAAAATTTTCACCATGTGATGCCTTATGTCATTTCTGATTTCATAAAACTAATTGAACATTTTCATTATCACCGGAAGTACAGTACACTTACATGTAACAAATGTATAAAATGAATTGATATTGCTGGATTTTGTTGATTCGGCGTCCATTTTATTTGATGTGTGCAATGCTTATGTGGAAACCTGTTTAATGGTTTCATTGGTACCGGAAGTAACATGTTTAGGGTAAAGTGGCACCGGTGAAACCCGTCATTACTGCATCGCAGTTCTAGTTTTTCTTTTTTTTACAGGAAACGATCATAAGCTGAATCCTAGCAACGAAATGTGTGATAAAAACTGACAATTTCAGGGAGAGATTAGCAGATACCGATGTCCGATAATAATGAGTAATGGCGAATAAATGTGAAATATACAAAGACTAATAATAATGAATATAAAGGTCTTGTAGTAAAAAGATAAATATACAATATACAAAATGACGTAATTAAAAATGGTGGATAACGAAATTGTGTACTAAACTGTGAATATACAATGGTGTAATATTGATATAAAGATTGCATACCAAACGGTGTATATGATTGAATATACCATGTGAATATACACGTACTATGGTGTAATCAAATGTGAACATGGACATTGAAGTAATACAATATGAATATTCGTGTATACACATGTGTGATAAGCGGTTGATTAATATACACGATATCAATGAAATGTGGATATACAATGACGTAATAAAATGTGAATATACAATGACTGAATAAAAAGTGTATGATGACGTCGCAAAAGACCCATTAATTATCTAGTGCAGAGGAGTATTTAGCAATCGAGAATATTAATTGACGATTTTGGTCAAGTATTAAATTATCTTAATGTAAAATCAGGTAAAAATCACCGTAGTAAACACGTATTCTGAGAGTATTGCTGAAACAATACATATTATGCCCTGCAGGTCCCAAAAAAAATTTTCATTGAATTTGTACCCTGTTATATGAAACAGTGTGCAAAATTTTTATAAAAAAACAAACAAATTTTAGGTTAAAGGAGCTAAATCTCTATTTTTTGGCACCTAGAAATGGGTACAAATGAGTCGCAATGCATATGATAATGTAAAGTGAATGTATATAAACTGATTTACATTCAATCGTTTCTGTTTTAATGTAATTTATAATCAGTTACGCGAAGAGTCCAAATTGAATGGCAGTTTTTGGCGCCTGGTTATTCCAGTATACACCGGTAGTATTCTCCCGTGGGATATGTTTAGCCTCGTTCTAAGAGTCGCTTCATTACAAATGGCGCTGGGAAGCATTCTGTCACACGATTCGTGTGCCAATTTTAAATTTCCATATTGACTTAAATATGGAATATCAGAAGCCCATCTTTTAATGGTAAAATAATAACATCAATTTTGATTTAAATTGACCAATAAGTCGTGTTTGCAATGTCGAATACTGTAGATGATATTGAGTTAGAGACTTGGCTATTTTATATGATACGTTTATATTTTAGAATTTAATAATAACACATAATGCACCTGTCTATTGAAAAATATAAATTATTTTGAAAGTTTAGCTATGCCATTCACTCTAGAGTTCTATCTTTGAACGTAAAAAGAAACTGTGTAAATAAATTTATTTAGACTCAGCTCTACAATGACATGTGAAGATAATAAATTATGCGACTCAACTCTATATTGACACGTGAAGATAACAGATTATGTGACTCAACTATAGATTGATATGTGAAGATAACAGATTATGTGACCTAACGCTAGATTGACATGTGAAGATAATAGATTATGTGACTCGTCTCTAGATTGACACGTGAAGATAATAGATTAGGCGACTCAACTCTAGATTGACACTTGAAGATAACAGATTATGCACTCAACTCTGTGACATGTGAAGATAAAAGAGATTATGTGACTCATCTCTAGATTGACATGTGAAGATAATAGATTATGTGACCCATCTCTAGATTGACATGTGAAGATAATAGATTATGCGACTCAACTCTAGATTGATATGTAAAGATAACAATGATATTGAAGATAATAGATAACTTCGATTTTTCAGAAACTCAAAGATCAACCGCCGTGTATATGAACTCTAGCTAGCTTGATATGCGAATCAGGTGTAGATTGATATGTGAATCAACTGTTGGTCAACTCTAGATTGATATGTGAATCAACCCTAGATTGATACGTGAATCAACCCTAGATTGATACGCGAATCAACCCTAGATTGATACGTGAATTAACTCTAGATCAGTATGTGAATCAACTCTAGGTCGATATGTGAATCAAATGTCGATCAACTATAGAGTGATATGTGAATCAACAAAAATTTGATATGTGAATCAACTCTACATTGAATCAACTGTACAATGTTATGTGAATCAACTTTAGATTGCAATATGAATCAACTCTAGATTGATATGTGAATCAACTCTAGATTGATAGTAGATTGATATTTTGATCAACTCCACATAGACAGGTGAACCAGCCCTGGATTGATATGTAAATTAAGTTTAAATAAAATATGGACGAACTCTAGATTGACATGAGTATGAGAATTAACTCTAGTATGAGGATGGCTACATGAGCCCTTGGAACTCGCTATGTGACTATCATTCACCAGTAAATGAAGTCCAGATCGATGTTAGAGAAAATATTTCCCCGGGGACAATTGGATGTAAGAACTCGGCTATGGTTTTAATCACCATAACCAAGCATAGATCTGCATGGCGCATTTTATTAATTTAATCAACGAATACAATAACAAAGCTGAGATAAAGTTTTGTTGAAGATCCCCTTTCGTCAGCCCATCCCTGTATGATAGTTTATAGAAATAGTGACGTATTATGTAGCTATGTTCCGTTATCTATGACAATGCTGGTAGAAATGTTAGAATTAACAATAAATATAAATATATATTGTGTGTCATTTCAAAATGGCTTGGACATAAAAATTTGTAATTACTTAAATAGGACAGCTTATGGTTGCGGTAGCGTGCAGGGGTTTGGTGATGCTGTGGGTCAACTCCTTGATCATATACCCACAACAGTCAAGTACAGTATCTAGTATCTGGAAGACATATTAAAGGAGCTAATTCGCCAATATTTGGCACTTAATATTGACACAAATGGGTCACAACCCATATAATAATGTAATATGAATGTATAAAAAACTGATTTAAATTCAATCGTTTCTGGTTTTACCCTATAATTTCAAATCAGTTATGTTCGGCGAAATACGCTATAGGTCTCAATCGAATGGCAATCTCTAACGTTTGGTTATTCCAGTCTACACCGATAGGATTTATAGCGCATGCTCTCTAGATAAGAATATGGCGTGACCGTTTGACATGACTTGTGTCTAGCCTCGTTCCTCGAGTTCCTTGTTACAAATGACGCTGAAACGCATTATGGTACACGATTCGTGTACTAATGGCAAAATGTTTATTTTGTCTTAAATATTGGATAAGCCCATTTTTTCCAGTAAGATCACAACATTAATGTTGATATAAATTGATAAAAAATTCGAATACTTTGTATGATATTGAGGGCTTAGCTACTTTAAGTATGTCAAAAGTGATGAAATATTTTTTTTATCCAGATTATCCAAATTAAGTAGGACAGCTTGTACATCAAAGTTTAACGCGATAATTTCCAGTTTTCGAAATCTTAATTGAATACCACAGTCGCACCCTCTCTGCACGTCACTGTATAGTTGTCTAGAATCTCAACCAACTGCGTTTTGGAGACATAGATTTGTGACCTGTATAAACATTAATTAACTTTAACTTAAACGTTGCGTAGACAAACGTGTTTAATACAAATTCTTTATATTTTATCTTTGCTTATTGTACTTGCACAGCTTATTTCCACTTACAGAAATAGTATTTGTTAATACCGTATATGGTAGGGTTATGCTCAGAGGCGTTAATGTCTAGTTTATATCGATTCAAGTAGCTATAGCGACAGGTCTTACGCAAGGAAGTAGTTGCTTTGTGAAATGGTCGCCATGATTGTATTCAATTCTGATAACTCTTAATTTTTTAAAGGGGCAGTATTAGATTTCAAAGGGGTAGTCTTAGATTTCCGTATCCGTTGATAATAGAACATCACACAAAGTTAACTAATTTTAAACACTAAGGGGTAGTCTTAGATTTCAAAAGGTATCCGTTGATAAAATAACATCACATGAATCTCTAAAAGATATTAGTCCAAAAATGATTCAATGCGTGGAACTGAAATGTCATCGATCTATACTATTCGCTAGGTAATAAGCCCGGCGTCAGCTTGTTCGCGAAAATTTATTTGTAGGCCTGTTTTAGAACCGATTGAATCCAAGCCTGGGTATTATCTAGCGTTGGTATTTTGATTTTGTGCCCTTAATGAAACGTTAAATAATCTATCAGAGTACATATTAGTGTGCAGTAAGCGATCAGAAATTTTATATTTTAGCGAAATATGCAAATGGCACATCGTTACTTTAAAGAAATTCGTTATTTTAAAGCACGGGATACATTTTAAATATTGTTAATTAAAGTAACGTTTGTCGAAGAATGGTTGTGGTAATTGTCAAGAGAAATAAGAAATCAATAACATCTGCTGTAAGTTACAAGTTTGATTTGGCAATTACAAAGAAACCATGACAGCAGCCATCCAAATGTGGTCTTACTTATTAATCTTGATAAAATCTTGACAACCATTTCTATTGGGAAATAAATTACCGATTTAAGCATATACAATATGTAATTTTACATTTTAATGCAGTGTTATTCCCTTTTGATAGTATTGACATTTTTTGAAAATCTTCTAGAAACCTGGAGAATTACTTAGTTTAATTGCAAAATAGCACGTGATTAGTGTCATTTAATTATTCGAGATTTGATCTCATGCACGAATATTATGTTCTGATATAACAGTGTTAATGCTTTGATCTCATCCACTAACATTTCATCCACGAACAATGTTAGTGGGTTTTTTATCATCCACGAACATTGTTTGTGTTTTATTTAATCCAACAACAACAACAGTGTTAATATTGTATCTTACCCACAAACATTGTTAGTGTTTTGATCTCATGCATGAACAAACATTGTTAGTTTTTTATTTCATCCACCAACATCAGTGTTAATATTGTATCTCACCCACGAACAATGTTAGTGTGTTGATTTCACCCACAAACATCGTTAGAGTTTTGATCTCACCAACGAACATTGTTAGTATTTATTTAATCCACCAACATCAGTGTTAATATTGTATCTCACCCACGAACATTGTTTTGATCTCATGCACGAACATTGTTAGTGTTTTATATCAACCACGAACATTGTTAGTGTGTTGATCTCACCCACAAACATTGTTAATGTTTATTTAATCCACCAACATCAGTGTTAATATTGTATCTCACCCACGAACATTGTTAGTGTGTTGATTTCACCCACAAACATCGTTAGAGTTTTGATCTCACCAACGAACATTGTTAGTGTTTATTTAATCCACCAACATCAGTGTTAATATTGTATCTCACCCATGAACATTGTTAGTGTGTTGATTTCACCCACAAACATCGTTAGAGTTTTGATATCATTCACGAACATTGTAGTTTTTTTTTGTGATCTCATGTTCTCATGTACGACAATTGTTAGTGTTCTGAGCTCTTGCACGCACATTGTTAGTGTTTTCATCTCATGCACGAATACTGTTAGTATTTTAATTTCATAACTCGAACATCGTTACTATTTGTGGTTGGGATCATTTGGTATATTATCACAAGTAAAACAAAATCGCTAGTTATTGAACTTTAAACATTACAATAAATACTTTTAAATAATATATAATTCTATTATTCACCCGGTTTGTTACATACACATACACATTATTGGTGTGTTAATGTCATACGCGCACAATGTTGGTGTTTTAATAGCATACCCGCACGTTGTGTATTTGACCAGAAAGACAAATATTGTGAGCGTTTTATTCTACTACACATATAAGTGTGTATATTTAAAATTCATACGCAAATAGTTGTTTGTATTTTGCTCTTATGAAAGTAAATTTTTTACTGTTTATTTTCTTTTTTA